TGGATAGAAATTGTTGGAGCTTCATAGAGGACAAAGAAGAAGAATTAATAAAAGTGCAACAAGGCGTGAAAAGCAGGAGCTCACACTGAGGAGAAACAGAGCCTTCACTACATTATATACGGAATTAAAGCTGAGTTCGGGTCGCTGATACAAGAATGTTCAAGTGGTAAAGAAGCGTGGGAAGTTCTACAGAAGCAATTCGAACCCAAAACAAGAGCAAGGATAATTCAGTTACTGGATGACTTTTTTAGTATTAGATATACGTCAAATGAAGAAATAGGATTATTTATCGCAAGAATAAGAATGACTGCAAAGAAGTTGGCTGAAGCTGGTCACAACTTGGTAGATCTTTTTAAAGGATTTCAGGCAATAAGATTACCCCAGGAATACTCCGGCATTGTACAATTGATCTATAGGTGGAAGGACGAAGATTTTATGCTGGAAAAAATTGCTGAAGAGCTGGTAAGGGAAGAAAGCCGACTTCGCCAGGTAATTGCCGATTTAGAAGACAGCAAGGTAAGCGTGTTTAATACTATTAGTTTAAACACAGGGAAAGATAAAGTTGAAAATAAAACTAAATCTAAGAAAAAAATGGGGAATATGAGAATAGGACCTTGTTTCAGATGTCATAAATTTGGGCACTTAATTGCTCAATGTAAAGAAAATGTAAGTAAAAATCAGAAGTTTAAATAGACGATAAAAATGGACAGTTTTAAAGATAAAGAATTAATGTTAGTAGAAAATTATGTAACAACTACAGATAAAGGAGGTAACGCAGATAAATTTAATTGGGTCGTAGATACTGCAGCTACAACTCATTTCTGTAATAATAGAAATTTAATGACAAATTTCAAAGAAATAAACGATATACGTATGTCTTTAGCTGTAGGAAATTGTGAAAGTAAAGTACTAGGAAAGGGTACTGTCAAATTTTGCAGTAAAAGTAGGCAATGGAATAAATTGGATTGAGTTAGATAATGTGTTATATAATCCAAATCTAAGAAGAAATTTATTATCGGGAGCAAGGTTAGAAAAGGCTGGTGCTCATTTTGTGATTTCAAAAGGGAAGATGTGGATATACTTTAATAATTGGGATAGATTATGCTACGCTAAACGATATGATGGACTTTATCACATAAAACCAACAGGTAAAAGGGAAGCTGGTTACGGTATAGAAATTGGAAAGTTAAATAAAATAGATGATGCAATGCTATGGCATCGGAGATTTAGCCACGTAAGTTTTGATTATATTAAGAAAACTTGTAAGAATCAAAGCGTGTAAGGGTTACCAGAAATTGAAAAACCAATAGAGAGGTGTAAATCGTGTATTATTGCTAAATCTAGTAGAATAACTTTTAAATTTGTTCCGAAGAGATCGGATAAAGCATTGCAGTTGGTTTATTTAGACGTTTGTGGCCCACTACCAGTTCCATCTAAGGGTGGGAGTAAATATTTTCTTGCTATTGTAGATGACTATAGTGGATTAGTAACAGTGTATTGTATGAAAAATAAAAACGAATCGTTCTACAACTTTAAGAATTATCATAGGCAAATGGAAAGACTGACGAATAGAAAATTAATAAGTATACGCACCGATAATGGTGGGGAATTCTGTAACAGGCAATTCGAAGGTACTTAGCCGAAAATGGAATTAGTGTTGAACGCACAAACGTGTACACCCCAGAAGAGAAGAATACACCCAAATTTATTGAAGAATTTATGCTGGAACGGTGTGTGTGAACGTTTTAACCGAACGGCATTAGACACAGTTAAAGCTATGCTTAATGATGGTAAAATGGGAAAGAATGGTGGGCAGAAGCTCTTGGCTGTTTCGTACATATGTGGAACAGAGTATGTCATAAAAGCAACCGAACCCCTTATGAAATGTTCCTAAATAGAAAACCCAGTGTTGTTTATTTTAAAATATTTGGTTGTAAAGCCTATGTTGGCATGCCAAAACAGATTAGGAAATAAATTAGAAATGAGGTGCAAAAGAAGGAATCATGGTAGGATATGCGAAGGAAACTAGGGGTTATAGGATATGGCTGCCAGAAGAACGCAAATTAATAGAAACCTGTAATGTGAAGTTCGATGAAAAACTGTAATGCAGCAAATGGCATCCTGGAACAGAAAATCAAAACCTAAATTTAAAAACTAGAGGAATCTGAGCTATTAGCAGAATCAGATGAAGAACAGGAAATTTCTAGAGAAGAATAAAGTTGTCAGATGACAAATCTACTCCGAAAGAAGTATCAGACTTAAACTGGCAAAGAAAAGCAGTTAAAAGGCCAGATGGAACACGTACAGACATACATTATTATGTAGAGGGAACAGACACCCGTTTTAAATCCTATAATGATATTGAAAAGTATTGTGAGGCAAGAAATATTAAATATGAAAAAGATAAGTTCGATTTTAGTGGAAAAAACGAATACTCGGGGAAAATTAATTTTGTAGAACAGGAGACTAGCTTTGTGTCTGAAGAGGCAAATTCCATAGAAATTGTTATCCTACAAAATTTTAAAGAAGCACGGAAATCGGTAAATGCCGAAGAATGGGATAAGGCAATGAAAGAAGAAATCGACACAATGAAGAAAAGAAAGGTTTGGGAATTAGTCGAAAAGCCAGAAAATAAAACTATAAGAAACAAATGGGTCTATATGCTAAAAAGAAATGAAAAGAATCAAGTGGTTAGATACAAAGCACATTTAGTAGCGCAGGGATTCAGGCAGAAAAGAGGTGAAGATTTTGATGACGTTTACAGTCCTGTAGTAAATTTTTCAATCATAAGAATATTTTTCACTATACTGGTATGTTTATATGGATGGACTTAATTGTCAGTTAGATGTAAAGAACGCATATTTATATGCAAACCTAAATGAGAAAATATATATGACCCAACCAGAGGGATTTATTGAAGAGGGAAAATAAAGTGTGTTTATTACACAAGGCCATTTACGGTCTACATCAAAGCGGCCGTGAATGGTTTTGTGAATTTGAAAGTACTTTAGAAAATCTACATTTTAAGAAAATACAATGGTGTATGTAATTGTGTTTATAAGAGTTCAAATGTAATTCTCTTGTTATATTGTAGATGATATTGTGATTTTTAGTAAAGATCAATATAGTATAGATAAAGTAATTTCACAGCTGAGTAAGTTTTTTTGATCTTAAAGTATTAGGCAAAACTAAAACGTTACTTGGAATTGAATTCTTAGAGAATGAGAATGGGGTTTTTATACATCAGCAAAAATATATCGAAAGAAATTTTTGAAAAATTTAAACATTCCCAGATACCAATAACTTCACTTCCCATAGCTAAGGGCACTATTCTTACAAAATTAGATTGTCCATCTACAAGTGCAGAAATTGCGGAAATGCATACATTACCCTTTAGAAATCTGTTAGGATGTTTAGTTTTTGTAGCTAACAGGACAAGGCCTGATATACATATGCAGTGAATATCTTTATCACAATTTCAGGAGAATCCTGGAATTAGGCATTGGGAAGCATTGTTTGAAATTGCTTGGTTATCTCAATAGTACTAATTATATAAGTTAAACTTATCGAAGATTAAACATCTAAATTTATACTGTTATTCAGATGCTGATTATGCAAGTAATAGAGATGACCGCGTGTCCATGGGAGGATTTATATTATATTTAGATGAAGTACCGGTAATCTGGAAAACTGTTAAATCAAAATGTGTAAGTTTATCAACCATGGAAGAGGAGTATATCGCTTTATCTGAAGCAGTGAAGGAATTAATGTGGATGAAAAATGTCTTAAATTAAACTAATTTTAAAGTTTAATTTAAGAGAGTGTAAACTATTTTGTGATAAAAAGTCTGCCTTTGATTTTTCTAGATCGGCAATAGAAAATCGCCGAACTAGCACATAGACGTAAAATATCACTTTGTTAGAAGACTAGTAAATGATGGAATTTAGAATTGAATTTACAAAAGCAGTGCTGTTAATGAACAGTGTTAATCTGTGAAAGTTTTGTTTTTGTCTTTGCATGGGGAAAAGAGGGCCGTTTGTTGGCTTTAGTTTTCCACGTGCAAATTTTGATCGGAGGTCGATCGGCGGTAAGCTAACGTGGTTGCCGCTGATTGGCCGCTCACGTCAAGATCGGCGGGTTGGTCAAGTATATATATATGTACGCCGGTATCGGCGAAGGTTTCTTGTTCTGTTGTGTGATTATCAGTTAGCTTTATGCTAGTTTGCTTTCACTAAATGATTTTAAATGTAAAGGCTACAGTGTTAGCTCTTTTATTTTATTTACGGAATAGCAAATTTTTAGTTATCTTAGCTTATTAAGGAAGCAAACATCTTTGCTTTATCACCATGCAAAGAAACTATTGTATCCAAACACAAACATTTTCACGCAGTTACCTTAATTTGTTTAGTTAAGTATTTTCTTTTGTGCAAAATTTTGTATTGCATTTTTACATATTGATTGTGATGTTTTTCTAGTGTGGCAGAATTACTGTCATTCCCATTTTTGCAACTGTATGTTTGCAACATAAGGTTAAAAGGCACGCGTTGTTAATCACACATTGGGATACATCCCTACTTTTATGTGCTGGCAGTTGCTGATTGCAGTTTTAAAATGCCAAAGAAGGCATCAAAACGAGCAGCCAGAGCGGCTAGTAATAGTATGCAATAGGACTTGGGAGGAGAGTCAAGAAGTCATGGCTCGCTCTATCAGTTTTTGGTTCTGATCCTCTGGATTCTGTCCCTCTGTTCTCGGGTGCAGACAAGGGAATTAGTCTAAATGACTTCTTAGATAGGATTGATCTCATTGCCACTCATGTGGGTTGGTCAGATGAAGACAAGTTAACAGTGATCAGAGTCAAGGTGGCAGGTGAGGCTGCTGAATTATGTAGGATTAACCCTAGGTTAATAAAAGAAGCCAGTCTTGAATATGTCGTAAAAGCTCTGAAGGAGAGGTTCAGTTCAGTGCACAATTTGCACTCTAACATCCGTGCTCTTATCCAGGCTTTTCAGAAACCACACGAGTCAGTGCGACCAATTTGCAGCACGTATAGAGGCTCTTTCGTACAAAACTGTACCAGTGGAAAGAAGCAGTGACCCTGCAGCAGAAGCACAGAGGCAGGATTTACTTCTGTCAGTGTTTATCGAAGGATTGCAATTGTTGCATTTGCGACGCTTGTTGCTGCCACAGAATCACAAAACTTTTGCATCTGCTAAACAGCATGCAATTATTGAAGAAGACATGTGGGCTAAGAGCCATGCTAGTAGTGATTTTGCAACAGCTGAGGTTAGAGCGGTGAATGCTGCTAAGCCAGCAATCGAAAAGTCAGTTACAACACCATCAGTAACCAACTCAGAGCTCACTACAGCTATTAAAATGCAACAAGAAAATATAGCTCAGCTTACTAAAATGATGGGTTCTCTTCAAACACAGGTGCAGAGTTTAATATCACAAAGTACTCGTTCAAGACCCATACAGCCTCGTTGTTACAGATGCAACAGAATAGGGCATGTTAGCAGGGACTGCTATGCAAATATTGTGCCTAATCAGCACTCTAGACAGGGTCAACAGAGATTTAGAAATAACCAAACAGCCAGGAGACATCCTAATAACACCACACCAGCTGTTTCGGGTACTCCAAATACCACAAGTGTGGCTACAAATGCTTTGAATCCCCAAGCACCAAGTTTTAATTTAAACTAATTCAGGGTGGGGAGAAACCAGTCTCCGTTTCGTCTCCTAAAACCCTTTTGGAGGTGCCATCGGTTTTTACAGTATCCACTAGTGAGGCGTCTTTGCCTATTGTTGAGGGATCTATTTTGGGGAATAAAGTAAAGTTTTATTGGACTCAGGGGCAACTGTAAACATCATAGAAGCTAAATACATTAAATGTTTTGGAAGTAAAATCTCATTGGACTCATGTAATATATATTTAAAGGGTATAGCTGCAGAAAAAGTAAAAATAACTAAGAAAATGAATTTAATAGTAGAATTTCAACAACAATATTTTGAAACAGAATTTTTAATTACTGACACACCTCTTTCATCTCAGTATGGTGCTTTATTAGGAACTAAATTTCTTGCAGACAATAATATGCATTTGGATTTCTCCACTTCTCAACTGTTAGGATCAAATGTAATTCTTAAATGGAATCTAAGTCAGCCTAGTGCTATGAATAGTAATGTTTTCTCTCAACTTCAGTTTTCTCAGTCATTTTGTTACTCTGTAACCAAACATAAATTACCACCTTTTTCAGAAAATATCATTAAGCTCACTGCTCGTTCTGCAAATTTTACTACTGATACTGTTTTGATTGAACCTTTAATAGAACATGCTCAAAGTAAATTTTCCATAGCCAGGTCAGTTAATCAGACTTCTCCATCTCAGGAATTTGATGTCAAAATAGCAAATTTTTCACCGAATACTCTACATCTCAATAAAGGAATGAAATTGGCCAGTGCCCAACCTGTGAATGTCATGACACATAATTCTGAACTTGTAAACAATACCACCATAGAAACAGGTGAGGATTTCGAGTCTTGGGGTGGTGAATTTGATCTTACACATTTACCTGAGCAGCAACAACAATTATCACACCTTCTCAATCAGTATAGTAACATCTTTGCTGCCTCAGTCACTGAGTTAACAGGGTGTGACACCATCTTACACAACATCAACTTGCATGATAATATTCCTGTTAGGCAAAAGCCTTATAAAGTATCTTACCATCTCAGGGATGAACTAGATAGACAGGTGGCAGAGCTGGTTGAAGCTAACATCATTCAAGAAAATGACAGCCCTTACAGTGCTCCTGTTTTATTTGTTAAGAAAGCGGATAACACCTACCGTTTAGTCACTGACTTCCGCAAGTTGAATGAGAAAACGATAGAAGATAGTTTTCCTCTGCCTTCCATGATTGAGTTGATAGAACAGTTAGGAGATTCGAATTATTTTTCCACGCTTGATTTAACTTCAGGGTTTTTCCAGATGAAAATTCATCCTGATGACACCTTCAAAAGTGGTTTCTCGACTCCTTCTGGGCACTATGAGTGGTTACGAACACCTTTTGGCATGCGAAATGCTCCTAGTTCTTTTCAAAGGTTGATGTCTATAGTTTTGGCCAATCTTTCACCATTAAAAATAGGAATTTACATTGATGATATTGTCATTGCTTCTAAAACTTTTGAGGAACATTTGGAAAAATTGAAGTTAGTTTTTGATAGACTAAAACAGCATAATTTAAAACTTAAGCCTTCTAAATGTCATTTTCTGAAAGAACAAATTACGTATTTGGGATATAAAGTTACCAAAGGTATTATACAGCCTGACGATAAAAATTTAAAGACCATTCAGAGTTTTATTGCACCTAAAAATAGGAAGGAAGTTAGGCGATTTTTAGGCCTTATTGGCTTTTACAGAAGGTTCATTCCAAATTTTGCCCAAAAGGCACTTCCTTTAACTCAGCTAACTAAAGATAAAGTTCCATTTTATTGGTCACATGAAGCTCAGCAGGCCTTTGATATTCTAAAAGCTGAACTTCTGAATGAACCTATTTTGGCTTTACCTAATTTTCTTAAACCTTTTTCCTTGTGTACTGATGCTTCTAATTATGCACTGGGTGCTGTCTTGTGTCAGGAAGATTCTAACGGTTTCCAACATCCAATTAGATAGATTAGTAGAAAATTAAAAGGTCCTGAAACACGTTACAGTGCTGTAGAGAGAGAAATTTTGGCAGTTGTTTGGGCCACTGCACATTTTAGACAATATCTTCTTGGTAAACCATTTACAGTTTATTCTGATCAAGCTTCATTATCTCATGTTTTAAAACTTAAAGATCCCACTTCTAGAATTGCATGTTGGATTATGGGTTTATCCCCGTTTGATTGTAAGATTGTTCACAAACCTGGTAGATTAAATTTAACAGCAGATTATTTATCTAGAGCAGTAAATGTTACACAGTTAATTCAAACTTCCATTACTCCAGAATTGTTGGAATTATTCAAAAAAGAACAAGCTTCTGATCCTTCTTGGCAGCAGATTGTAAATGATCTTAAGAATAATAAGTCTCCTACACCTAATTCTCAGATATTTTTTGTAAAGGAAGATGTTTTATATTGCAAATACAAGAAACCCAAGTCACGTTGGCAGAAACAAGATAGGCTAGTTGTTCCTAAAACACTAGTATTAAGAATTTTGCAGGAACATCATGATTCTCCTACTGCTGCACACTCAGGCTATCACAGAACACTTCATAGCCTTCAAAAGTCTTTTTTCTGGAAGGGTATGCATAAACAGGTGCACAATTACATTAAGTCCTGTCACTCCTGTATCCAGAGGAGGGGTCATAGACCTGCTCATAAGGCTCCCTTATGAGAATGCCTATGGCTAACCCGTCCCATTGAGCGAATTGTGATGGATATAGTGGGGTCCCCTTCCAGTTACTACGGCAGGCAACAGATATATTTTGGTCGTAACTGACTATTTTTCACGATGGCCTGAGCTTATCCTTCAGGAATACCATCCATTCCATATGAAAATTAGAACCTCAATTGGATAAAACTAATTTACACACAGGAAAGTTTTAGAAAGCAAATTATTAAGGCCTTGAGCTTCATTATTTCAACTCATGGTATACCTCAACACATTGTTACAGATAAAGGTACTAATTTTATTTCTCAAGCTATAATGGAAGTTTTAAGAAATTGGGGATTACTAAACATACTACTACGAGTTATCATCCACAGTCTGATGGTGTAGTAGAAAGATTAAATGCCACCTTAATTAATTCACTTAGCCACTTAGTTTCTCAAACTCAGGAGGATTGGGATAGACATCTGCCTTTTGCCTTATTGGCACACAGAACTGGTCGTCATAGTGCACTTCAGGAATGTCCAGCTTTTATTTTATATGGCAGGGATTTGTGCTTACCAATTGATTTATTATTGCAAACCAATTTTAGAACTTATGATGACACAAACAATTATTCTAAAGATTTGGTTTTGAGATTACAAATTTTAAATTAGTCAATCAGAATTTAACAGAGGCTGCTGATAAGCAAGAAAATTTACGTGGAAAGAATTCTCATGATAAGGACATAAAAGTGGGAGATTTGGTGTATTTATACACTCCAGTAGTTCAGCCAGGTATGGCTAGAAAACTCTCTAAATTGAATCAGGGACCTTTCAGGGTTATTGAGAAAGTGACTAAGTCAACTATAAAATCTCTTCAATTACAAATCCTGATCGGATTCAGACGATACACGTGGACAGACTCACGAAGGTACCAGAGAGAATTACTTTTCCCACACTTCAAAAGGATGACTCAATTTTGACAGATATGTAAGAACTCGTCACACGATTCACCTTACCATCTAAGGCCTAGAGATACACATGGTTTTGTGTCTAAAAAAGTGAATT